GCCATCTGAGTGTGAAAGATATATGTGAAAGATGGTGCTTATTTCTGTTAGGATGGATTTTCTGAGGAGCGGCAATTTCTGGCCTTTTTTTTCATGAAAGAAGGGTGCACCACATTTCTGACAGGAGATTCAGCTCAGGCCTCCCTCAGAAAAGTGAAGCTGTACTGACATTCTGACAGTTCCTTTGTCGTGCAGAACTATCAGAGGAAGGTAGATCACATCGGTCAGCTGCAATGTTCTGAAATCTAAAAGTCCTGACAGCCACTTTAACAGCTGCTGTCAAAAGATAAATACATAAGCGAAGGGCAGTGTTAGGATCCTCAGTTCTGAGGGTCACTGGACCTGAAACATCAACACTGATTTCTCTCCACTGATGCTGCCAGACCTGCGGAGCTTTTCCAGCAATTTCTGTTTTTGTTTCTGAGCAGTGTTAGGGTGCTGGATGGATGGCGTGCCAAGGAGTATGAACGCCAGAGGTGTAGAGGTGGAGGTGCTAAGGAAATAGGTTGCCAGGGTGCTAGTTGGCAAGGGGGCCAATTGGTGACACATTGCGTAGGATAGGGAGAATTTGGGACTGATGTGGATCTGGGAGCAACATTGCTTCTAACTGCATACTGCTCCGATGTTCCATGCATGGCGACTGGTATCACATGCTGGTCCAAAAGATGCTGCTATGTGCAGGCCTTGGACGACAACTCAGCCGGGAAGAAAATTAGAGGGACCACTGGCTGGAAGGGTGGGTGTTGGGTCCAGTGGAGGCAGTGGGCTGGGGAATTGTGTCCAGCAGTGGTGCACCTGTGATCTACACTGGAATAATAATTTCCTGGATATCAGAAAATCCAGGCCATTATGTTTTCCCAGATCAGCGTAAGTTTAATGAAAATACCTTTTTCTTCAATGTCAATACTGGATTGTTAGATTGGCTCTTTTATGAGCATGTAAACAGTTAAGCACATACATAAGTACATCCTTCTAAAAAAATGTTATGATCAAACAGAAGATAGCAGATGTGATGCATAAGTTCGAAGGATAGAGACAGCAAGAAGTAATTCAATGAAAATGAAGCTGTTAACAAGAAAACTCATGGAAAATTAAAAGCTCATAACATGCTACATTCTTTCCACCTTCCTCTCTACCTCAGAAAACTGAACAATAAGATCTTTGGATGTATGAGGATGTGGCCTCCTACCCCCACTCGTTCTCTCCAGTATGAGGATGACCTAAGAAAGATGCATGTATTATTGCATGCCAACATACCCCTTCACAAGAATAGCTAAGAGCAGCAGCAGAACATTTTTCCACAACAAGACGCACTGAGTCTGGAGGAAGGGTCACTCGATCTGACACATTAACTTTGATTTCTATCCACAGATGCTGCCAGACCTGCTGAGCTTTTCCAATAATTTCTGAGCTTGGCTCTGTATCTGACCTGTTTTGTACCTTCTCTCTGAGTGTTTGACGGGACAGTGTCTGTGTGGAGAAGTTATTCCATAACTGTTTTAAAACTGGAGACCTTATTCCTCCAGTTTCATTTCCGAGTGTTTTTTAAATGTAATGAGTGGTTTCTGCCTCTATCAGCATTTCAGACGGTGAGTTCCAGACTATTGCCACCTCTGTGTGAAAAATATCACTCCTCAAATCCCCTCTAATCCTTCCATTAATGACTTTATATCTGCTCCCTGGTTTCTGACCTCTCAGATTGAAACAATCCCATCAGCTGCCTTTGCCACTTTCCTCTATTCCACTAGCTTACCCTCCTTGTACAAACTTCCATTAATACTCCACCCAGACCTAGCCATGAACTCTCACCTTTCTCTAGTTTCTCTCCTGTCTCTCTTCATGCCTTCTCTGAGCTCATCTTTTTTATGAGACCTACCTCTTATTCCCCTATTTCCTGTGTTCCTCTGACATGACCTCTTTGCTCCTGTGCACAAGCTGCTCCCATCACTGCGTGGGATTGCTGCCTTGAATGCTGTGGATTTTCCTCTTCTGATCTGCTGTAAAACACATCTGAGGTGACACATCTCACACTGATGTTGTCAGTTTGAAAGCCTCTCGGATGAAGAATACTATTCCCACACTAGAAATCTCTGTCAAACATATTTCCCAGGGGAACTGAGACAGCAGTTGCAATAAGTGAGGTTTTATTCAGATGTAACAATGACAGGTTTAAATCCCCACCTGATCTGCTGCTCAAAGTCACCACTATTTCACCGATCAGTTTTCCAAGCTTCAGGAAACTCATGCTGCTGCAGAAATATTTGTAATGATTTGAATTTTAAACAATGTTCCATGTGGTATGTAAAATGGCTACTTGCCCCAAACAATTTATTTACATACAATGACACAGAGGTCACATTAATATAGGAAGCCACAATGTGAAAGGAGTTTCATAAAAACATTCCCATTTCCTTACAAAAAGAAAAAACTGCATGCACTACAATTTGTAAGTGTCTCTACACATCATATAATTCATCAAGAAAAGAATCACACATGATTTTTTAAAAAACATTTCTTGCTAGCCTGTTTAAAGTGTGTCTGTCCCTACACACAATTGCACACATTATCTTTAAAGCATTCAGGTCACCTTATGGTACGTGTATAGCTGTTGTTGTCTATTCATCCAGTGGCTATTGGTTCCTGATGCAACATTGCCTTTCAGGAGAACATTGCTGCTGTAGTGAATATTGTTGATGATTAATTGTTGCATTGGCTGGCAAACAGTCCACTTCTGGAACTGATGGTCATCAAGTTTCTTGCTCAGTTGGTAAAATCAGATCTGCTTCATCAGCTGTCTGCTACTCCATTTGCAGTGTTATCTATTATTGTTACAATTGATCTTATCATTGACTTTCACCAGGTACAACTGAGGTGAAGAGACAGTAAGAACTGCCGATGCTGGAGTCTGAGATAACACAGTGTGGAGCTGGAGGAACACAGCAGGCCAGACAGCATCAGAGGAACAGGAAAATTGACGTTTCGGGTCGGGACCCTTCAGAAAGCTGAGGTGAAAACGTCTCTATACACATTTGAAGTTGTCAAGTGAGCTGATTTCCGTTGAATGCAGTGAATGTCTGTACTCTGACCAGTTCTCCAGCATCTTTATCAAATTAAAATTTTGCTATCTTTTCACTTTTGTCTTGTCACTTTCTTGTGTTACAACTTCTGCCCTTAATAGATTTTTGGTGATTGGAAGAGTAGTCTGGTGGAATGTAACATTGGTCACTGAACTGAACAATTATCCCTGACTTCAACTGGTGTGTTTCTCTAAAGATTGCCTTGTACACATCTATGCTGGATCTAATTGACTTGTAGATGATTCCTTTGGCAACTTTCACTGCTGCCCCAGTATTTGACTGGGGATACTGTGGCGACAGTATGTTGTGATAAATTTCCCAAGCATTCAAGAAGTTACTGAATTCTTCGGACATGAATTAAGAACAACTGGCATAATGCTTGAACTATGCGATCTATGATCTCACAGTTGGTTGTTGATGTCAGCTTGTAAAACAACACGCCGTCTGAATAGTAGTTGACTGTGATGAGATCATCCGTCCCAGTGAGTGAAGAGCTCTACTCCAAGCTTCATCCATGGGCTGTCTGGGATGTCAGGAGTCATGAGCAGCTCTTTATCTCATTTAGCTTGATGTTCATTACAAGTATTACCACTGGCTGATGTGGTCCTTCATCTCGTTGCTCATGTTTGGCCAATAGATCACTTCTCTAACCTTACCGAGACTAGCCTCGATTCTTGAATGGTTTGTGTGGAATGTGTTTCAGTATCTCTTTTCTCATCTCTAGGGAAAATGACCCTTTGAACAGGATGCCATCTTGGGTGATCAACTATTCTCTGTTTGCCCAATACTATGTTACAATTACAGGGGTATCCTGGGTTTTGGATTATCCTTTCATCACAATTTCCTGTAACATTTCAAGAGTTACACCTTGTTGGGTAGTTTGCTTGATCTGAGCAAGAAGCCTGCCTTGTCAGATCCGAGATCTCTGCTGGTTTGATGATTTCCAGAGCATATCGTGCTGTTGCTTCTGGTTGAAACTGGAAGATTTCACACTCTGTATTAGCATCAATTTCTTTCATAGACAGTGCAGCTCTCAACAGTCTGTCAGAGATGTACATCTGCTTCCCTTGCTTATACTTCACATCTCGGTGATATCTTTCCAAATGAAGTTTTTTTTTATTCATTCACAGGATGAGGGCATTGCTGGCTAGGCCAGCATTTATTGCCCATCCCTGATTGCCCAAAGGGCAGTTAAGAGTCAACCGCATTGCTGTGGCTCTGAAATCACATGTAGGCCAGACCAGGTAAGGACAACAGTTTCCTTCTCTAAAGGACATTAGTGAACCAGATGGGTTTTTCCGACAATTGACAATGGATTCACGATCATCATTTGAGCATGTTTTGAAGCAGATATAAGTGGTTTGACAAAAATATTTTGAATTATCTTGTTAAATCCTACCATTCTCTCTCCCAAACAAGTACTGGTTGAAATCCTGAAAAATCCATGTCAAGGCTCTTTTTCTCAGTCTGTGTACAGCAATGTTCAGTGTGTGTTAACGCTCTGGATACAAACACAACGGGTTGCCCTCACTGCATGGGGATTGCTCCAAGTCCTGTGTCACTGACATCACACTGCAGGGTGGCTCCATTGTTGACATCATAATCCCTCAGCACTGGTGATGTCATCACTAGGTGTTTGATGGGAGTGAAAGCTGCTTCTTGTTCTGTGTCCCAGTCCCAGTGAACACCCTGCACCGTGAGACTGTGTACATGGTTCATTCTGAGGACAGACTAAGCAGAAAGCTAGCTACGTAGTTTCCATGTGTGTTTGATGTTCCTGGGAATCCAAGAATTGCATAAAAGCATTTATTACAGAACTCACACTGATGGGGTTTCTCTTGTGTGAGTGCATAGATGGACCAGGAGATATGCTGATTGTGTGAAAGCCTTGTCACATACTTCACACCTGAATAGTTCCTTCACGGTGTGAATGCGTTGATGTCTGCGGAGGTTTGATGAATCTGGGAAAGACTTCTCACACATTTCACACTTAAATGGTTTCTCTCCTGTGTGAACGCGTTGGTGTTTGCATAAATCTGATGATGATGAGAATGATTTTTCACACACCTCACATATGAATGGTTTCTCACCTGTGTGAATGTGTTGATGCACAAGGAGGGTAGATGACTGTGTGAATGATTTATCACACACCTCACAGTTGAATGGTTTCTCCCCCGTATGAATCCTCTGATGGACCAGGAGGATTGATGACCTTGAGAACGATTTGCCACATACCTCACATGTGAATGGTTTCTCCCCTGTGTGAATTCTCTGATGAAGCAAGAGGTTTGATGACCTTGAGAAAGACTTATTGCACACTTGACATGTGAATGGTTTCTCCCCTGTGTGAATCCTCTGATGGAGAAGGAGGTCCGACGATGTCAGAAATGATTTGTTACAAACTTCACATGTAAATGGTCTCTCCCCTGTGTGAATCCTCTGATGTACCAGAAGGACGGATGACCTCGAGAATGATTCATCACACATCTCACATCTGAAAGGTTTCTCCCCTGTGTGAATACGTTGGTGAGTACGGAGGTTCGATGACTGTGAGAATGATTTTTCACACACTTTGCACATGAATGGTTTCTCCCCAGTGTGAACATGTTTATGTGCCTGGAGGGTCGATGACGATGAGAATGATTTCTCACACACCTGGCATGGGAATGGTTTCTCCCCTGTGTGGATACGTTGGTGTTTGCGGAGGGTCGATGAGTCTGTGAATGATTTGTCACACACCTCACATGTGAACGGCTTCTCCCCTGTGTGAATGCGTTGGTGTACACGGAGAGTGGATGATGATGTGAATGATTTCATACAAACTTTGCATGTGAATGGTTTCTCCCCAGTGTGAATATATTGGTGTTCAAGGAAGGTCGATGACTGTGAGAATGATTTGTGACACACCTCACATGTGAATGGTTTTTCTCCAGTGTGAATGCGGCGATGTTTCACCAGGCCTGATGACTGTGCAAATCCCTGGTTACACACTTCACATTTGAAGGGCTTCTCTCCAGTGTGAATGCGTTGGTGGGCACGGAGGTTTGAAGGGTCTGAAAATGATTTGTTGCATATCTCACATGTGAATGGTTTCTCTCCGGTATGAATCCTGCGATGGAGCAGGAGTGTCGATGACTGTGAGAATAATTTGTTGCACACCTCACATTTGAATGGCTTCTCTCCCGTATGAACACGTTGGTGTGAGCGGAGATTTGAAGGTTCCGTGAATGATTGGGCGCACACCTTACAGGTATGTGGTTTCTCCCCAGTGTGAATCCTCTGATGCAGCAACAATCTCGATTTCCGTGAGAAGGATTTGTCACACACCTTGCATGTGAATGGTCTGTCTTCTTTGTGAATACGCTGGTGGTTCACCAGACCTGATAATTGTACAAAACTCTGATCACACACCTTACACTTAAACGGCTTCTGCCCAAAGTGATTGTATCTGTGAGTCATGAGTGTTGATTTGTGTTTGAAAGCCTGGCCGCACACCTCACATATGAATTGTTCAACCTCCATGAAGCAACTTGAATCTTATGAGCCTCACACATCTAACACGTGAAAAGCCTCTCACAACACTTGGAGCCACTGACACTTCTTCCCAGCCTCACCCTGACCGATCACCCACAGCCGAACATTCAGAAAGGTTGGTTCTGATGGAAGGCTCCACACCACTGACCAGTATCAGATCTGATTATATGTCAAAGTTCCCCTAACTTGACCGATTTCCAGATGATGATTTCCCTGTCCAACCTTCTCTGCATTAAGCAATGCTGTGAAGGGACTGGATGTCTTCCCACAGTTGTGCAGTTGTTCCTTGGATGATGGTCAGGATCTATCTGTGGCGTCTATCCGCCCTGTATTCTCTGGTGTAGTATGGTGCAATCCTTCTGTAAAACAGGAAAAGGAAACATGATTTCTTCATTTGCTAAAAATGTTCACTCCTCAATTAAGGACTGTTCCACAGTGGATTGTGAAAGGGAGGAGACACATGGCTACTTTACTTCTTCTGCCCAACCACTCTATCTTTCCAGACACTGTGAGGAAAATGGAAAAGGCAGTCAGGTAGCATGCAACATAAATTGTCAATTCACTTTAACCCTGTAAGGTGTTGGCAAACAGTAATTTTTCTCTTTGATGCGTTAAATATAAAAATACATGGAAGAGGAAGTGAGTTGCTCCTGCAGAGGACAGCCTGGACACAATGAATCGAATGGCTTGCCCTGGAATCATTCCATGATTTTGTATTAATCCAGCCATGAGTCCAGTGAAGTGTTTGAGTGCAGAACCTACAAAGGATTGGATAAGGATTTCAGCAGTAGATGATCTAAGGCAGGGTATCACCTGTCCCTCATAGGAGTGAACCTTGTCTCCATTCCTGACCAAATCAAGAAATGATAGTGTGACCCAGGGATATAATGGAAAACCCTTCATAGAATCAGACCAAATCACAGATTAATCCAATACAAAAGGAATGTGGCAGCACCCAACTGTCAAAGGAGCCGTTTTTCAGATGAGCTCTCAAACAAGGCCCCTTCTGCTCTCTCTGATATGGGGTTAAAGATCCCATGGCACTATTTGAAGAACAGTGGAGGTATCCCTTGTGTACTGGCTGATGTTAATCTTAAAGTCAACGCCAACAAGAAAACAATTTATCTGGGTCATCATCATGTTGCTATTTGTGGAAGCTTGCTGTGCACACATTATAATGCAAGAAACATCGCAGTCAAAGTGACCAAACTTCAAAAGGGATAACAAGGTGTAGAGCTGGATGAACACAGCAGGCCAAGCAGCATCAGAGGAGCAGGAAGGCTGACGTTTCGGGCCTGGACCCTTCTTCAGA